CAGAGGATAAAGCTCTCGGCGTTGATCAATCCCTGAGGGATGCGTCATGCATTCGTCTTCAATTTTTAACCTCGTTTGAGGTGATTGAAGGCATATCTGGCCTTTACAATGACTCCCGTTGGTCTCCCGCCGTAGCGAGTCAGTGGTGCTTATCCTCCCAAACAAGCCTGCGACCATTCTTGTACCAAATTACCGACGCGGAGTGAATGGCTTGATTAACCGTGGGCGCGGGATCGAACCATGGACCTTGTGCGCGACGCAGACCACCTCTAAGCACTGCACCACACGCGTTCATCATTCTGTTATCAGTGGGTGTAATTGTAACATCACATACCACGGCTAAAAGCGGTTGGATAAAAAATTAACTCTATTTAAAGCAACATTCTTAACATTTCGAGACGAAGAAATGGGAGTTCGACTCGAATATATCGACGAATAAGATACAAAAAATAATAATTAAATATAGTAAGATATAAGCAAATGTAGATACAAGTGGAAATAAAGGATATAAACATAAGTATAGGCAGAAATAGATCAATGATTCAATAAATGTACCGCTATCCTGGTAACAATGAGCAGATTTCACCTATATAATCAAAATTCTCGGAATTTTGAAAGACTTTCTAGTTCGCAGTTTGTGACGACGGCAAGCCCGACAATGGCACACCGTAGGCAACTCTGACATTTACAACAAATCTAACAATAATGGAGCGCATGTGACGCAGTGGTTAGAGATGCTGCTGTGGGTCGTACATAAGGTCGATGGCTCGATCTCGCACGCACTCGTGGCTCATCAAGCCTTCTATGCTTCAGAGGCCGGTATGTTGGCACCACACTGGTCTCATACTTGTCTAGGAGGATAAGCAACACTGACTTCAAACGTCGGTAGGCTTCCGCAAGTCGTTGTGAAGGCTGGAAATACACCTGGTCATGTCAAACGAAGCTTGAAAAGTTTGAGGCGAATGCATGACGAATCCCTCAAGGATTAATCAAAGCTGACAGTCTTATCTTTTATCCTCTCATATTAATGAGAAAACGAGGTGTCGCAATGGTTTGTGACGCAGCCCTCCTAAAGCGAAGTGATAAGCGGCAAGCTGGTTCGATCCCTCCCCGACACTCTTTCGCAAGCAGTCAATGTGAACGCCTAAAAACGCCCTAGCTTGACTTTCTCCAGATTGCAAATGGAATCGTCCCGAGCATTCTACGACAATTATAAAGAAGACGAAATCCTCAAGCAGCTGCTAAAGCACTACGTTAGATACTCGAAAGGCTCGGGCTGGGGTCCTCTCACAGCAAAGTGTGATGACTAGCCGCTTAAAATAACATTCATTCACCAGCGTCACCGGTATCACCTGTCGCCCCGTTGATCGTCAAGTGACCCAAACGGGCACCAGCGGCACTTCCGTTTTTCCCTATCTCGTGCAAGAGTGACCCAGTGAGTCCTCCTAGCCCTGGGGATCCGTTGGGCATCAAAACTTTGTACTAGACTTTCCGTGAAAAAATCGGACCATCGGGTCGGTGGTCTTCCTGTGAAGCGCTTGATATCCCGAGGAATCCAGTGGGCAACGACCCTCGTCCCTCAGCTATCGTTGAAGCGCACAACGCGTTCAGCCCAGCTTATTTCCAATAGCTTGGCCTGTAGAACGGCATCTTTGGACTTCGATCGTTGACGTGGGGTCGGCAAAATAAAAATATTAGAAAACCTGTCAAGATGGGCTGACTTATAGAACCCGATTCACGTGTTTCGACCTTGCGATCTCGTCAGTAGGGCAGTTACCCTTTCTCGTCTTTTGCCAGTCCTGTGTGGGTGCTCCAGCCCCCATACTAAGGGTAAGCGACGAAGAATGTTTTACACTCTATGTCCAGTGGAATTTTCACTGAACACAGAGTGTTGCACACTCGATTGCTCATGGTTAGTATATTCAATAAATCATATCTTTCGTTTCGAGTGTTCTCTCAAGACGACAGCTCAAATTTCAACATGCCTGGTAATCATTTTTTGAGCCACGCTTGTCGCGTGGTCTGTTAAGGTGGGCTGACTTATAGAGCCCGATACACGTGTTTCGATCATGGGTGGCTCAAAAATAATCATCAGGCATATTTAAATTTGAGCTGTGGTCTCAAGAAAACAGTGGAAACGAAAGAAATAAGAAACCGTCAAAGTAAAAACAATCAAAAAATATTCGAGACGGAGGTGTTGTTCGTCCAAACGGGTTAGCGGGACTTCGATACGGTATCGATAAGAAGCCGTAAAGTCCATAGCACCTGGGGTGGCAGTTCGCACAGCTGTCTGTCTGCGTGACGAGTGAAACCCGTCCCAAAAAGGGGATAGTAGTATGCCACGAAAGGTCATCGCCCTTAAGAGAACGGCTGTAATGGGTTAGCGGTTACTGGCTGGGTCATGGGTCAACACTGCCGACGGTCGTCGTCGTTCGTCGTCGGCGGCAATCCGCTGTGTGCTGGTGGGGTGGCTGACCTTGCCTTACGAGTGGTGGTGGTCCCAATGGCGAGCGTAGTGGCGGTGAGGTTGCTGCAGCAGGGTGGGCTGGACGGGGTGGGTAGGCTGCTGGGTGGCGCACGAGGAGGTGCGGGAGCCTCACCCCCACGACCGCAAATCGATCGATCGTCCCGATGCCACGAAGCACTTGAGAGGCGAGTGGGGTCGGGCGGCCGCCGGACCACCACGGCATTCATCTGGCCGCCGCATTCGCCGGAACCCAACCCCCTTCCCCCGAACTCCAGGCTCATTCTTTGACCACCCGTTTCGCGCGAAACTCTCCCCTCTCCCCAAGCCCAGGCTCATTCGCCGGCCACCCACTCGGGCGAATTGCCCCACCGCTGTGCAAATTTGCATACTGACTCCATCGATTAAGAGTGACTCGTCGCCGGTCGGAGAACTAATTCGGGTACTCAATATGCTACCAGCACGGGGATGTTAAGATGAGACTGGAACTTGTAACGCTACTACTGCATCTGTTGGACGTAGGAGAAGGAGGAGGAGGTAGGATGGGCGATAAACCGCGATGAATATGGATTAATTTCTTCGATCACTTTATTAACAGGTATAGATCACATCAGGGTTGACTCGGGGTCTCACCGTGGAGACTGGAGACCTTATGGCCAGCTAATGTATCTGATTTTCAGCAGTTAAGGACTAAAGTATTAACCCTTTCGGGACCACGTGCACCACTCATAGTACACGCGAATTTTCGTGGTTTTCTCGTCGACCACAGACTTTTCATCAGACTTTGAGTAGTCATTCGATAACTGAAAAAATCGCGGTCCTGAAGGTGTGCCTGGCTTCTGAAAACGCTTTTCCAGTGAGCTGTAGTAACGGAGAGAAAATTGCGTTCAGATTCTTTGATTTGATCGCCACTTGCGGTGGTATGATGTTACAGTATACCCAATAATGTGGAGTGCTGGAGTGCTGTGCAAATCATTTGCCAGCCGGGATTCGACCCAGATCTCACTCTTTCCGGGAGCGTATGCTAACCGTCGCACCACCACGCTTCGCGTTCTTTCATTGGAATATACAGTGTGATTTGCACTAGTGTTCACATGGTTTTTGCATAGAACAAAGGTTTTTCATCAAAGTTTCAGTAATCATTCGATAGTTCGAGAAATAGTGATTCTAAATCCACATTAGTTTTCAATTGAATATCAAATGCAGATTTTTAGAGCGCTTAAAAACGGTGAGCAAACTCCACGGATCGCGTGCTTTAACGTGCTTCGCTACTGTTATGCCTGGCCTTACAACAGCGTTTCAACAATCTTTCATATTCCCCAATAATGTGGAGTGCCCTGCAAAAACATATGCACGAGTGGTGCAACAGCTAGCATACGCTCCTGGAAAGAGTGACATCTAGGTTCGAGTCCCGGCTGACGCAAATTGTTTTTGCAGGGCACTCCACATTATTGGGTATATTACAAGATCATACCACCGCAAGAAGCGATCAAATAACGAATTCTCAATCTTTCAGTGGTTCAAAAAATACAGATTTTGGAAACCAGTTTGTTTTTTCTGAACTGGTTTTTTTTGGGTACTGTGAGAAGGGAATTAAGATCGCTTTTCACGTTCTGAGTGATCAGCCGGTCTCTTGAACTTCGTCAGTCGGATGCAATAGTACATGTATAGTGAATTTCGTACGCTGGAGACAATTTATGATAAAAAAAATGATACATTTACTAAAAACCTTCTATAAAAGCTTTTTTTTTTAGTAAAATGAACACCTACGTGCCCCTAGAAATTTTCACTTTGTAATACTAAGGTCACATCATTGCGAATATCAAAAGCATACGATTGTGCAGAGAAAACTTTGAGCTATCAAAATATTACAGAGAAACCTCACATTTTCTTCCAAAACGATGAAAAAACCTTGATCAATTACCAAAAGTCGCGCAGTGGGGCTGCGATTTGCACTCCGCATGGCGATTACAATGGGTGGTCCTGAAAGGGTTAAGAGAGCAGCTAGTGAAAATACGGACCACCACGGCAGGACCACGGCGCGACCACGGCACCGGCCGCGGTAGGTGTTTGTCTGAGACCACTCTCGGCATGAGGCCAAAGATTAATGAATGACAGAGCGCCAAAAAGACAATTTGATTTTATCAGCAAAAATGCGAACAGAACAGGACATGAGGAGTCCGTGAGAGAGCTGAACAAACAATGATAACAGTATTGACAAGTTCTTCTAGGCGTATAGGGAGATTATGAGCTGATAGCGGATACGACAGTGAAGCCTTACCGATCGACCGACCGAGATATAGCAAGGTAGGCAGAGACGTTCGAAGCGATTATGACTCCGATCTGACTCGAATAATGACCACTGCAGCTGCTAGTGAATACCACCATCACCGATTCGGCTAGTAACATCCGCCACTATTGCCTCTTGTCTCTCCATAAGAGACCCCCATAGAAAACCGGATTCACACTCATTGGTTAGAACGCGCATCAACGCGATAGCAATTAACCTTTCACAGGAGTTGGTAACAGCGCGGTGGCCTCGGTGGTGTAGTGGTAGCACAAGCACTCAAAATGAGAGAGAGAGAGCGAGTTCAAAGCCCGCCTAAGGCTCAAAGTCTTGCATATCACTCGGCATCTTTGGATATGACTTTTCACGTCTCAATAACCACACAATTACTAGCCAAAAGTAATTGAAGTTGAATAATTTTTTTCTCGTTCAATTGCGCATTGTCTTGCGAACGTTTTGGTTACAACTTGTCTAGACTTGATTCATGATGGAGCTGTCTCAGAAACAAAATCGCTTGCTACGCATGACCGAATGGCATGCAGGTAAGAATACTAGTGAAGAGCGCGCAAGATCAATGAAGCTTCCTGTGAATGACCCAAGCGCGTCTGATCCTCCAGACTGTTCACTCCAGCTTTGCACTTCGCCAACCACTTCCTAATCGTCTTTCTGCAACCGTTCTATCGCTCCAAGCTCCATTAATTTTAGGCACCGCTTCACTAGCACTTTCTCCCTGCGCGCCATTCGTACATCAGTAGCAAGCGAGTTTGTCCCATACAACTTCACCTTAAAGCAAATATAGGCGAGTTGTAATCCAAAACGTTGGCAAGAAAATGTGCAATTGAACCATACTAAAATCATGCCATTTCAATCTAATAAGGAAATAACTTGTTTTGAGTCGATAGGTCTGGTGCCGATAGTATATAGGCACCTATTTCGTCCTATTGGGACTGATCAGTAGCACCCTCCCTCGGTTCAGCCAATCTCTTGAGGCTAAATAATCCTCTAAAGGAATCGACGTCGAGATTTCAATTGTTTTGAGCGGGTCTGTAAAACAGCAGTCGATAGCAGAGATATATTCATTATAACAGCCGCAAGCTCAATTGCCGGTCACCACAACGTCAGGTAAAACCATCATCCAACTTGGGGTGATTATTTTTTACTCGGCATCGATTCCTTCAGAGGATTATTCAGCCTCGAGGGATCAACGAACGAAGGGAGGGTGCTAATGATGAGTCCTAAAGGACGAAACAGGAGCCTATTATAGTACTAGACTTATCGGCTCAAAACACGTCATATACTTATCAGACTATATCGTATTGAGCGGGTCTGTAAAGAGCGGTGGATGGCACAGGCATGCCATTTTAATTACTACCACGTAATAAATCTGGTGTTTATTGCTCTAGTACCGAAACTTATGGAACGACCTAAAATTATATATATAACCGGCTTCGGGTATGGATTTGGCTACAGTTCCAGGATCTGCTATCTCATCCCGACTTCTGCATCCTAATTCTTAATCGAGTTTTTGAATCATCACAAAACCTCAAGGTAGCCGCGTGCTGGGGCGTACTAGACTCCGGGTATGGACTCAGCTTCTATTTTACGATCTCTGACCTCCTATCATCATTTACAGCCTGATTCCTAGTGGATTATGTGACTCCCTAGAAAATCGGTAGATAAGCGTGCTGGGGCGTGCTGCGACCGCTACAATAACTGGTTGTCAGATTAGTTGTGTCACGGGAAGTTCGCTGTGTTGGGACTCCTCGCGATTCTCCAAGACGACAGCGATCCTTGTGATGCCGGTAAGTTCTGCGATGGTTGGTTTCTGGACAGTTCGAGGACAGCTGTAATGAGCCGGGTCAACATTTATGAGGGAGATTTATTTAGCACCAGATAAGTAAAAGACTATTGTCCGTGCACAATAAGTACCTTCTCTCTCTCAACGCACCAGCACAATAGAGTTGAGTTTCAAACGATAACAAAAAAAAAAAAGTAAGAGCGCACGTGGTGAAGTGGTTAGAAGTGCTCTGTGTCGCTCACGAGGTCGATGGTTTGATCCGGCATCCCTGACATACGAAGCCTTCCGACTCTGCGGTGCCAGTAAATTGGTGTCTGATTTGTCTGGGAGAATAGTAGCACTAACCTGATACATCGGTCGACTACTGCGAGTCGTTGTATAGGCCGAATATGCATTCGTTCAGCTCAAACGACGCTCGATAAAGTCTAATGGATGGCGCAATCCTCAGGAGCTGGTCAACGCCAAGGTTTTTTCTTTTTATGCTTTTATAGAAAAATCGACATCTGGCCCGATTTCAGGGTAGCAATGTTCCTAAGACCCGGATTTGTTCTAGACACCCTATTCATGCTGACTGAGAAGGATAGTTCCGAATGTTCCAACTATGTATTGATCGTATCTAGGTGAGAGTAGGACGGAATACATGGAGACTGCCAACATTCCTGCTTTTACCGTAGATGGAATAGGTCTGCGACTTTTCATCGGGCGTTATTCAATGTAGGTACAGAAATGGCAAGCACTCATCTTTCTGCTTACATATACTGTAATAGGTATATGCACATTAATTACGATAGTCGTTATGAAAGAGTATTGATTTACATGGTCTAGGAAAACTTCAGTTTACTGCTTCAGCAGTATTGTTTCGATGTTATAGTTACATATCCAAGGATGCTCAGCGATATGCAAGACTTTCGGCACCAGGTGGAAGGTGTACACGCGTTCAATCTATTCAGGACTCAGTTTGTTCAAGTTTCTTCTTGAAGATTAGTAGCGTAGAGATTGGTTATAGCTCAACAGGATATCTCTGTGATCTGCTAAACTCGACTGCATTGATGTAAATCAATACTTATATATTTCCTGATCTTCTTCTTCAAGGCCATACACGAGGTGTTACATTAATAATTACTTAACAGTTGACGTTTCGGCAGTTCGCCTTCTTCAGAACCTGAAAAGGTCAAATTGTCTGCAGTCCAGTCAGTGAAACACCTCCATTACTCTTTTAGAAAAATTCACCAGACCTAGATTTCAATCGAATCAAGCACAAAATCAACTCTTAACATACTCACCGCTTATACTTCAATATTTATAATGAGCATATGTATATTTTAAACAATTAGGACTAATTGTTCGACTTAGGCACTAACTATAACGACGGCATGTACAGAAATCAAAAAAGACTAATTGGCTACGCTGATGATATGTAAGGTTGAAAAACATGGTTATTCCTAATGTAATCATATCTGCTATGGTACACTTCTCTCCTAAACTAAATAAATATGTTTCCTTAAAGGAACTATAATTAAAAGTTCTCAAAAAAGAAAACTAAAAGGAAAAAGGTCGAAAAGAAAGAGATATAGTACATTTAAGCAATACAAATATTGAAAGTGAGTACATCTGGGCGAGAATACCGGTTTAAGATGAGACTTACCAGCATCAAACATGTGAAAGAGTTCTAGATACAAGCAGTAAACTTGATAACACAAAATGAGCGTCGAATCAAGAGCAATAAAAAATCCAAGATCGAAAAAAGTAGAAGATAAACAAGTATACAGAAAACGCGAACACAGCTAAAGACTAGCTTTTGGTTGACCGAAAACACTAATAGTACCATCGATTGATGTAACAGCAATCATGCATCTAAATCGAACATCGTACAGGAAGAAAAGTAAAATATCCGATAATTTTGAGTGACATGCAAAACCTAGCTCGGACGGGAATCGAACCTGTACCTCACCCTTCTCGGTATCGCGGGCTAACCTATGGCACCACCGTGGTTCATGTTCTGCTATCATTATATCTGTGCTACAAGGTATCCATCTGTCAGCAACTAACCGTTACCAGTTTGGCGTGGTAAGCACTATCCGTTGAACGCAGTCACGCCTGTAACTCGTATGGCAGAAAAAGTGATAACAGAACAGGAGTCCCCAGCGCGATAGATTAAATGTACTGTCGGGAAAAATGAAAGCGAAATCGATTCCGCCCATTCAAAGTTTTGCGTACACTCATCATTATTAAGTGAGAAGTAAAATACTTCTGCATAAGAAAATAAAACGCTATAGAAGATACTGAACCTGAGCTTGTGCATCGCAACTGCCGATAAACTTTGCCCACCACGTTCCATATCGTTCGGTCGAATCACAGAAAGTGGAACACCGCAGATGTCATACAACTTCACTTCGGATTTGTAAACGCAACCAAACATCTGCATAAACTTATTTGAAGTGCTGTACAATATGAAGCAATTGAACAAATTGCAATCTGATAAAGATATAACATGTTTTGAACCAACAGATCTAAGTGCCATATAGGGGCCTGTTTCGTCCTACAGAGACATCAGTAGCACCGCCCTCGAATCAGCCAATCCCTTGAGGCTCAAAAAATGTTATATCCTTAGCAGATTAGTATTGTCTGAGCAAGGTCTATAAAAAGCGGTCGAAAGAAGAGGTATAAACAAATTACCTCAGCGTTTTTGTGTACAATGAACCTCCTCAAGTTTTCATGAGGACGACGTTCCGCTTCCATTTCAACGACAGGAACCTGCAAATGATACAAACATTTAGAAGTAAAAGAAGCTAAAATTCCCAGAACTAAAGCCACATGAGAAGTACAGTCAAGTAGTTAAACACGATGATCAGCAGAAATCCATCTTACCGACAGTTCTCAAACCTCGCTATAACATTCTACATAGTCTGCAAAAAAAATCTAAAGCTCTACCAGAGTTGTTACGTCAGAGCCCCCTACGTGCGTTTCGAAGGCGTTGCCTTCCTCATCAGAAGCCCAAGCCCCTAAACGCTACCTCATAGCAGAGATAGGACTACCAGCCGTAAACCATCGACTGAAAAAAGTGATGATAACACAATATTATGTGCTATCACCATAAGCAACGTCTCCCCATCCCTGTTATAGAGTAGGGTTCAGAGTGAAACGCAGGCCACTGATGAGTAGGCGACACTTCTAAACCGTACGTAAGCCATAGACTTACCAGCTTAGAAAAGGCTTCAAACATTCTCACAGACTGCAGTCGATCAACAGAGCAAGTGGAAAACGCAGTGATGCCGAACGCAGTTTCTGGTTTTATCTCATTTCAGGCCAATCAAGAAGTCTCTGGGATTAGGAAAGGGGCCAGACATGTCTACGAAGTATCTGCCAATTCATAAGACCTCGGCATATCCTAGCACGGCTATTCAGGGAAAACTTTGAATAAGAAGATGCGACTCGACTAGCAACGACATTCGTACAGATCGATGGAAAATCCTGAACCAGCAGCCGAATCAGCAAGCAAAATCGGAACACCTTCATGGACTATCG